CCGCCCCTGCCCGCCCTGCCGGGCCCCCACGATCTTGTTTCTCCCTGTTTCAGGAACTCCAACAGCAAAAACGACCGGAGGAACCGCAAGTTCAAGGAGGCTGAGCGGCTCTTCAGCAAGTCCTCGGTCACCTCGGCAGCGGTGAGTGCCAGGCCGGGCCCCAGCGGGGCCGAGCGGACGTCCCCGTCCCCATCCCCGTCCCTGTCCCTGTCCCCGTCCCCATCCCCGTCCCTGTCCCTTGGCCCATCCCTTGGTGCTCCTCGGTGCAGCTGGTCCCGTGGTGGTCGCCTGGGCTGCTGCAGGACCAGCTTTCCATTTAAGCTCTTCCACCTGCCCTATGTCCCCCGACCGAGCATCTTCATCCCACGTCTCGGCCTCTTTCAGAAACCCTTTTCCTAGTGCCCAGAGAGGTGAAAGGGAACCGCGGTCAAGAGCCACCCGTGCCACATGCTTGTACTGCTTTCATCAACATCTTTTTCTGTTTTCTAGGCGGTCAGTGCATTAGCTGGAGTTCAGGACCAGCTCATTGAGAAGCGTAAGTCACTTTTTCATTTCTCTCAGAATTTGGAAAGAATTACCCTTCTCCCCACCATTCAGCTCGGTCTCCAGTTGTCTGGATCTGTGCTGTACTCACTGCTCCCCCACAGTTCTCCCTGTCCAGGGACCTGCGGCTGTTCCTCTTAGGCCGGCTCCCGAGTGCTCCCAGCACAATCTCTAGCTACAGAAGTCAGCAAAGTGGCACTGTGAGAAACAGAAGTAAAGTTGAGCTTCTTTTCTCGAGCAAACTTTTATGCTCGGCAAGGTTTTTTTGTGCATACAATTTATTTAAATGGATTTGGTGCTCTGTGGAGAAAGAGGTTAGAAGAGCTGAAGCAACACGTTTCTGTTTGTGTGTCAGTCAGTTGCAAGTGACATGGGGAGGAGGCACTTATGTTCAGGATTTTTAAAAATGTTTTTGTAATCAATATCAAATCAGATGCAATTCTAGCGTGCCTCAGTTGCTGAGGAGGTGGCTTGCTGTCCTTCAGAAATATTTCTCACGTTTTCTTATTTACCTCCTGGTGCCACAAGGCTCAGCACGTCTCTGCTTCCCCGTGCACTGTTGCTGAGGGTTGCTTCTTCCATGCAGGGCTTTGCCAGGGCAGCCTGGGATGTGAGCTGCGGGGAGGTAACCATTGTGCTCGTCTGTCTTTGTCGTGCTCTAGGGGAGCCAGGCAGTGGCACAGAAAGTGACACTTCTCCAGACTTTCACAATCAGGAGAATGAGCCCAACCAGGAGGATGCTGAAGAGCTGGATGGGTCTGTGCAGGGGGTGAAACCCCAGAAAGCCGCTTCCTCTACTTCTTCTGGGAGCCACCACAGCAGCCACAAAAAACGGAAGAACAAAAATCGACACAGGTTAGTGGTACCAGCTGCCTTCTTGTCATGCCTTCTGAATGGTTAGCTGTTGTTGAATTTACCTTATTATGTGAAAGGAGCTAGTAACTTGTTAGAATAATGAGCAGCTCGGGTCATTTGTTTTGGTAATTTTTCTGGTTTTTAGTTGTATGCATCCTGTAGTGTTCATCAGGACCCCATTGCCCCCGTTGTATCAAGGAGGGAAGGGCGTGCTGAGGAAGTTAAACAAGCAGCACAGGGTACTAACTCCAGCTCTGGTACAGCTATGCTTTTGACTAGGCTTTTTCAACTCCTCTGTCTGTCCAGGAGAATAAAGATTGCAGTCCTGGCCTCCTGTGCTTGCTTCTTGGTTTCTGCAGAACCAAGAAAGATAGCAGCGTCAGTACTTTCTTTGGAAAAGAAGGGTGAAAAAGCAAATGGGAATGTTTTGGAGGTTGTGGACACTCTTCACTAAGATTTCCGCTCTGAGCTCTTTCAGTTTTCAGTGTCCCAAGCTGAGTTTCTTTTGATTATGGCATGGAAGAGTTGCTTTGTCACGTTAACCTCAAAGTGTTTGTTATTAAACTGGCCTGAAATTCATGTGAAACAGAGCTTTTCTGAACTCCTTATGGTTGAATTTAGATGACCCTTAAGGTATGCCCCTAAGGCGTGATGCAGCGTGGCGGGCTGATGGCTCAGAAATCTGAAATAAAGTCCCTGCCTTACAGTGCTGCTCTCCGTGGGCCAACGTAACCTGCTGCTTAACCGTGTCTCGGTGCCCCGCGGCAGAGCTAGCCCAGGGATTTCTGCAGAGTATGACAGTGCACTGCGGAGTCACACCCTAAGGGGGGAAAAAAAAAAACAAACATGGAAATCCATGCTTTTGGAAAGAGGAGACACTGCGGAACTGCACCTCTCTGGAAATGATTGCTGGAACTGGTACCTAAAGATGCCTAAAGAAGTAAAGGAGCTTTTAAAAATCAAGCGTTCTTGCTAACTCTGAGCTTGTTGGCTTTGTGTATGGATGGGCTTTCCTCTTTAAGGGACCTTCCCATACAATTACAGGAGAGAAATGTTTTAAAGGAAAGTGGTAGAAATTGACAAAGGTTGCTGGGGGAAGGTTGGTTTGGGAGACGCGGAGGTAGGTATAGTACCTGAAAAATGTTTAACTACTTTTTCTCCTTCATTAGGTTTTGAGTCATTAGCATGTCTAACTCTTAGATCAGAATTTTCTTCCTACAGCAGTCTTAATTGGGCAAACATCCTAAAGTACTGGATGTCCCTTTGGTACATCATGAGCTGGGAAAACAAAGCAGTTCAAAACTCTCTTTTTTGCCTGTAGACAATTGGAAAGAAGTTCAGGAATAACACAAGAAACTACATCTGTAAACAAGTTCAGAGGGACAATATGCAAAACTGAAGTACAGCCCAAGAAAACTGCTGTTTCAAACAAACTATAAAATATTCTACTAAGCACTTACATGGACAGCAAACCAATGCACTGCAGACGCAGTGGGGTGCAATACAAATGCTGTAAATAATCTAAATTCTTTTGCTCCATTGCATAACCCGAACTTTAGCGGCAGGGGTTAGGAAGGAACGGCCCTGCTGACAGGTTGTGTTGCTTTGGGGTTTCTTCTACATTCCTTCCACTGAAGCAGCTGATGCTGGCTACTGTCGGGGACAGAATGTTGGACATGAGGAGCCCTAGTCTGATCTGGTATGGCAATTCTTATCATCCTAAGAGATACGTCAGACAAATCTACATTGCAGAAGGGCTTTTGCAGTTAGTAGTTGACTGTTTTGTAATGCTTAGCATGGCAGATAATTAAAAGAAGATAACTAAATTTGTCTGTAACAAAAACACTGCTAAAATTGTGAATGCTGTTACTGACTATCCCCTAAATTTTGGCAGAAAAGACCAAGCAATTTTCAAGTATATCTAGGTTAAAAAAAAAGCAAACAACAGAACAGTCCCGCTCTGCTGAAAGTACAGCTAAGTGCTTTAAAATGCATTGCTGCCCAGAGTGCTCTTTAGGAAGAGGCCTGCGTGTCTGTTTCTTGAGTGTCATGGAATGCAGAAAAAAAAAAAAGGCAAGAAAAAGAAATATTGGTGTTTCTTTTTGTTCAGAAGCTCTTCCATTTGCCAGCATACATTTGAGTTCTGCTCGCCTGTTCCTGAAGAACTGGGAGGTGTTGGGAACAGGCACCCTGAAGGTGCACTGACTCCACTGGATTTTCTACTTCATGTGCCACCGAGAGCAGTGTGGGAAGTTGGATTCAGCCTGGGCAGAACCGGTGTGGATAGGCAGTTTAACTTGGAACAGTTAAAAACAGGGAATCGGGTGGAAGTTACAGTGTCTTTACTGAAGTCGTTCTCTGTTCCTTCTGAGACCACAGGAAGGCCAAGACGATTCTTTTCTGTGTGCTCAGCAATTTTCATGGCTAAAAAGTATTTCAGGAGAAAACAATACTGTTTCCTCTTAGAAATTCAGTGCTGAAAAGCTACTAAGTTACAGCTGGTGATGATAAGTCCTTTCCAACAAATACAGTTGTTAGCTTTGGGGCAGAACTGTTTCTAGAGACGGTGCTGTGATATCCGTGTGAGTGCTGAGACAAGGGGTGGGAATGTCACCAAACTGTCATTAGCTGTGGCCGACTGACCGTGTTCTCTTTTTAGCTCACTAAAGGAAGCGAGTGCAAGAGGATGTGTGTACGCGTGTGCGTTATGAGAATATTCGAATGCAAAGTTGGCCACTTAGTTCTGTGTCGTCGCCACCTCTGCCTGAACAAGCTTTGCTTTGCCGTAATAGTCTAGACAAAGCCACTGCTTTCTGACCACCCGCTCGTTTGTTTTTGCAAGCAAATCAGTTTTTCTCTCTGCCTGTGAGCTGGTGTGCACTCTCACGCATCTGATTGATAGCTTCCTTTTCCAGCACCTAAATTCCTTCCGCAAAAGCACTCTGCCTCTGTTCTAACACCTCTTTTTCCCAGAAATCCAATTGGGGAGGGGGACTCTGGATTGCCAAATCTGGAGTGCTTTTTGTGCCCAATTCTGGTTAAGATATCTTAAGAACTTTATGGCTTTATTATTTTTTAATTTTATTTTATTTTTTAGTAATCTCGCTAGGGTGGCTAATCAACTAATTTATTTAATTCATTAGTATATTAATTTCTATTGCTTTCTTCCTTTCAAATGCTGCCCCTCAGCCCGTCTGGCATGTTTGATTATGACTTTGAGTAAGTTTGACTTGAATTAGTACTTGTGCTGTGTTGTTAGTGTGTAGACACCAATGTGCCTTTTGAGACCTTTCTAACCCATAGTTTATCTGTTTAATTGTAGGTATGTATATTAGGTTAGGCTGGGAAGTTTTTTTTAAAAACAGAAAAGCGTGATGGAGGTAACATTTTATTTAATAACTTCAGCAAAATTAAATTAACTTCACTCTTCTTTATCTTTCTATTTCATTTTTAAATAGATAAACTTTTTAACTTAAAAACTTAGTTTAAAAACTGATTCTTCTGGCTTTGCTTCTTAAGGAGATTAGTGTAGACTTGGATATTTCCTTCTGGAAAAATGTAATAAACTCAGTACCTTTGACTCATATAATCCCTGTCGTCTTAAACTCCTATCTCTATTCCAAGTAAATAACCATTACCACTATGTCTGAATAATTACCTGTGGCATAGTTACACATCTAACACATTAACATAGAGCATGCATATTTAACCTTACTTCTTTATGCTGCATAACTTCCCTGTGATTTTTATTATGAACCTTTATTAACTGGTTTTTTGAGTGGACGGAATATGCATTTTGGCAAATAATAAAGAATCCACTCTCCGTCTCTGCTGCTCTCTTGTCCAGTAATATTGGGACAGTGATTTGGCTCAGCCGAATTGAGAATGTGGATTGAATTAACCAAATAGTCTTTGTTGTAGCCTGTGCCATATGCAGTAGCTGGTTCTTTGAACTCTAGTCTTGGTTTAATGTATTGAAATGGACATTTCTCTTATCTTTCCAACCACAGGATTGATCTCAAGTTAAACAAAAAGCCAAGAGCCGTAAGTATCCGTGCTCTGTCATTGTTTTCATTGCTCGTCTGTAGACTTGAGTGGCTGACTGACTCCTAATCTTAAAAAGCCTCCCTCTGCTGTAATTTAAGATCTTATTTTCATGGTTGAGGAATATCATGGTATGAAATAAGCATTGTCTTGTGGATTTAACAGTAAATAAGCCCAGGTAGGCTTGTTATGAAGCTAGGTCACAGTTAAGTCCTATGCACTTTTTATGAAAAAAGCTGTTTTGCGTCCTATTATCTTGTCATGATCTGGAACATTAAAAGCATCTGGTTTGAGTTGATGCGTTCTTGAACTAAGGTTTTGAAGGGTCCTTTCTTTTGAATGTTTAGCTACAAGAAAAAAAACCTCTTTTTTGTTTTGCCTGCAACTAATGGTATGTAGAAATGAGAGAAGACTGAGAATCCCAGCTCTGCAAGCAGAATTGAAGGTAGAAAGGTCTTAATGTGCCTGTCCTTTCCTTTCTCTGCAGGACTACTAGACTCATCAGTGCTGATGCTTCTGGGATTTAGGTCTACATGAATCCCCACTGAGAAAAATGCCAGTCGACTGAATGAGCACGATGGCAGCTCTCTGGCCAAGTGTCTGCAGATGGGAGTGGCTCGCTCTAAAGAACTTAGATGGGGGGAGAAAATCTTGGACCATGTACTTTGCATCATTTTTAAATCACCTGAGTTGCAGGAAGACTAAGGTGTAGTAGTAGTAGTAGTAGTCCTGAATTCCTGACTATTCTGTGCTTCCACCTCAGTCGGGAACTTCCTAAAATTGGCTGATGTTGCTGCTGCCACCCCTGTCATCTGCAAACCCATGGAGAGGTATTTCTTTTTCCACTGGAACTGGGGTATGATTCGGTATGTCCCATCCATGTTGTAAGACTTAGATTACTTCTGTTGCTGATACTTGGCTTTGTAGTTTTGTTTTTGTTTTGGTTTTTTTTGTTGGTTTTGTTGTTTGTTTTTTAAACCAAAGTGTATAGCTAACAAATTGACTTTTGGTTTCTTTGTTTTAATCCATGTAGAGTGGAAGGTTCTTCATTTTGTGGAACAGCTCATTTTGATTCCTACTCAAGCAGAGAAGAAGGTGGTTAACCCTTTTCTCTAATTTTAAACACCATCCCCTAAAATTTACGGAGTGCTTTTAGATGCAGGGAAGGCTGGAGCTCAAAGCCATCTTGCTCTTTGCTATCTTTGAGGTTGGGTGGATTCTCTTTTTAATACAAACTTCTGTCATTTGTACATAAACAATAAAAGTTACATGTTTGTCTCTCTTCTCATGTTTTGTTCACTCCAAAATTTGACTCCTAGTGCTTTTTATTCTCCACCTGCTTTATGAGGACTTTGCTGGGATTCTTCCACTTCTGCATAGTAGCTGTTCCTTGTCTCGTGACCCTTAGGAGGTTTCCTTTGTGCTTTCTTTCCTCTGGTGGCATAACATTGAGTACTTGAAAGGATTGCCAGGCACTAATCTCCAGCTGCGTTCAACTAATCCTGCTTCAAGGTAGGACTTGGATGTAAGTCAGTTCTTGCTGATACTGGCAAAATGCCCACAGATAAGGGATGAGCAGTCTGGATTGCCGCTGGAAGAGTACACAGAGGGATGGGTGTTAGGTGCTTTTCACAGTAGCCAGGTCAAGATATCAATGCTGATGTTGAAATGGGCTTTGCTTTTCCCAAGGTGGCAAATTGCCTTTGTTACCGGTGCTGTAATGCATTTGTGTCTGCTTAAACATTGCCGGTGGAGGCAGTGCCATGGGAAAAGTCGTATCACTTACAGCTCCCCGGTACGTGCGTGTGCACTTGTTACAGCTGAGTGTTCATTCCGTCCTGCTACACCTCTGCTTTCCCGGTGCCTTGGGTGTTTTTCAGCTCCCTCCAGGCAACCCGGTCAGTGCAGAATGGTACCTAAGAGTGAAGGCAAATGTATAGGAGCAAAGTTCTCCCTTGTCCTGTTGTCTGGTTCAGGGATCAAGGCGGCTCCGTATTTGTTCATGGTGGGAGCTGGCTTATCCCGCAGTAGAGCGAGCGGCTGGCACTCTGCTGTCAGGGGCCGACGGCTGCTTATCTGTGGGGGGTCTCGGGATGTAACGGCTTAATGGGAGCGCTGCAAAGCTTGCCCTACTTTTTTGTGTTTTAAGTTACAGAGGTTAAATACAGGGGGGTGGAAGATCTAGGAAACAGCATAAACTGCTAAAAGGCCTTGCTTTTCCATAGTTCTGGAAAAAAGAAGTCGTAGCTGATGGGTTTTGATTACTTGGCCTTGGTACAAAAGCAGCTTTTCTCCCACTACTGCTGCTGTTCCAAAGCAAGGATTGCAAAAGCGCCTGAACTTCAGAGGGTAGAAATCTTTGCTGCACCTCTTTGACCTCGAGGAAAGCTGCTGTACCTTTTTGGCCAGAACATTTACCTGCAGAGAAACAGCAAAGGGGTCACGTAGCTCGGAGTCCTGTGTGTACAGGCGTTTTTTTGTGGCAAAGTGTCAATCATCAGCTCCGCTTTCTCTGTGATACGCATTAGGGGTGCTGTGGGGACAAGGGGAAAATGCAATCTTTCCGGCCTCCAGCAGTGTTTGTCACTAAAGGAAGGGGACAGCCTGTTCTGACGAGGACAGTGTCTGATGGCAGCAGCCCGGGGGAGCCAGCACATTGATCAGGGCAGAAAGCTAAATGGCAAATGCTTGGTTCACAGTTAAAGGAACCCCGTTCTGCTGATACGCAGCTATTCCCTCCCAGGTCCTGCTGACCATCAGCAGCCCTTTGGCTGCAGTGAGACAGGTAAGAGTAAGAGGCCGTGGGGCCCCATGCAGATGGAACAGTTCCTCGTCCCAGAGCAAGAGCTGATAGCCACGGCTCTGCAGCACCAGTTTCCCTGCAGTGTTACCGTAAGGAGCGGGGACAACAGTGTGCGGGGTCTCTGATCACTTCGGGAGCATAAGCACTATCACCTACAAGAGTGTCGTGAGATGGATGCTGGAGTCTGACTCTGGCAGTTTTGCCTAAAATGTCTGTTTTATTTCTGAAGACTTCTATTTTTCTTCCTAAACAGCCTGAGTGACTAAAGATCCCCAGTGCCTGGCCTTGGATTTGGGAGTCAGAGTGAGCTGCACAGGCTGTTACCTGAATGGTAATGAAAGCTAAAAGTATTAGTTAAAAATAAATCACAAGTCCTTTGCTTGCAGAAGATGAATCCTGCGCAGAGCAAATGAGGGGGGGCAGAGCAGCAACTGTCCTATGGCCACCAAAGGTAGAGCAGAAGGAACGCTAATCCCCTGCGCAGCCTCGTCACCAAGAGGATTAGGCAGGAGTTTATTGAGCCCAAGCAAGCGGCTGAGCAGCAACCGAGAGCTGACGCCAGGCAGGAGGGGCAGCAGCCACCCCGGCTGTGTCCGGGAGGGGTCTGTGCGTGGTGCATTGCTGGGTAAGGGGGCAGAGCTGGGGAGGGGGAGCAGGCACCCCCACTGAGCGTGTATGCCGTGTGCTGGGATTGGGCCCTGCAAATGCTTGCCCTCCCTTTCGCTAGCCTGGCGCTCGGCGAGCTGGGCTGGACGCTGGTGTGCAGTGGTGCACCACGTGTCCCTCTGGTGCGCAGAGGGTGGCGGGTGAGCAAGGCAGCGGCTCCCCGGGGCGCGGGCACATCACCTCTCCGTCTCCTTGTCTGCAGGGTCCCCATGGGCAGGCAGCCCTGCCTGCCGGTGCCAAGGTGGAGGCAGCTCCTGCGCGCCGGGTGCTGGTGGCTCCTGTCGCTCTCCGGGACGGCGGTCCGGGGGCTGCGGTGGTTCTGGAGGCTGGCGTGGGTTGGTACTGTGGGGCCCCTTCCCCAAGGGCCTTCACGCACTTGTGTTGGCTCCAAATGTGGCGTGTGTCCAGAACCAGGGGCTGGGGCACGGGGTGGAGCGTGCTGCCAGGGCTCCGTCTCTGTACCGGTGGCACTGGGGGCTGTGGTTCAGGGCAGCTGGGCGGGGGGGGGGAGGGGAGATAATGACCGTCTGGCAGCTTGACGGGATCTTGGCTCGAGGCACTGTATGGTTCTGCCCACCAACAGCTGTGGGGATGTGGGGACATTGCTCCAGGCTCTGCGCTCCCCGGGGCGGGTTTGAGCCCGCCGCTCTCACTGCATGGCCTCCGTCCTCTCCCCCAGTACCTGCTGATCTGCTACAAGAGCTGGTGGGATGGCGTCTTTCAGGTCACCGAGGAGGTAACTCCCCCAGTGTGCCCCCACGCCACAGGGGCTGTGGAGAGCTCCAACCCCTGGGACACGGCTGAGCCTGGTAACATGGTCTGTTGGGTGGCCCTGCAGTGCCAGCGGGGCTGTAGGTCCCCAAGGCATGGCACGGCATGGCAGGGTTTCCCGGTCAGGGTCAGTGCCGGGGGCCATCCAGGCTCGGCTACCTATGTATGTGTCAGTCCCTGCTGTCCATGGTGGCTTTCAGCTCAGCATGACGCTGCGGTTGAGGCTGGAAAGTGGCAGCGAGGGGAGTGAGGAGGAGGAGGACGGGGGCTCCACTTCTGCGCTGGAGTCAGGACAGGCAGGTGGGTACCCAGCATGGCGGTGTGGGCAGGTGGGGGTGTCCCTGGTGCAGAGGCCAGGCAGGGCAGGTGTCGTGGAGCGCTGGCGGGAGCAGAGCTGTGATGCCAGGGCAGCAGCGGAGCAGCAGCGGCCAGGCGACGCCAGCGAGGCTGTGCTGGGGAGGCTGGAGGCTCTGGAGGCCGACGTCCGCTTCCTCTGCACCGAGCTGGGCGCTGAGAAGCTGCTGTGGAGCAGCCGGTTCCTGGAGCTGCTGCGGGAG